TCCGTAACGACGCTGGAGTATAAACTCATTCTTTGTACGCAGAAAACGAACGACCGTATGCGAGAGCGAAAATTGTGTCTGTCAAGGTTGAGCATGCGCCGGACGCGATGATGAAAGTAACCTTGGAACCTCGCCAAAAAGTTCCACTAGCGCCAAAAGTCGCGTCGGCACGTGCATGCGCCCCGCTATCGCTCCTGCCGCATTAGCGCGCATGTTTGTTTACGGAGCAACCATCTCATCCGCCCTCACCCCAACGTCGCATCGCACCCCACCACATATTCGGATACGCCACGAGAGACGTCTTAGTCGAACCGCAATTATGACGACCTTCGAGCCCTCCATGAGCACCACGATGCGCGCCTCCTCGCACGATGCGCCGTCCATGGCCGACCAACTACCCAGCATCAACTTCGGATTCGACGATCTGCGCAGTCGCATGAACCAGTTCACTACACGATTTGACGCTTTCATCGAGAATGGCCGCAGACGAGTACTGGAAGAGCGCAACCAGTTCCGCATGAATGTCGCAGAACTCCATGGTACGATGAGACACGATTCACCTGCATCTCGTCTGATCCATACTAACTATTGCGACAGAGGACCAACGCATGAAGAAGCGCGACATCGAGATCCTCGAACTCAAGACAGCCCAGCACAGTCAGACAATCTCCAAGGAGTCCCAAGAAACCTCCGAAATGCAGGAGGCCATCTCCGCCCTCACCCTTCAGCGCGACGAGCGCCTAGCCCACCGCGACAGCCTGCGCGCCCAAATCGCCGAAGTGCAAAAGACCATCTCCGCGCGCCGGGAAGCACAACTCAAACACCGCCGTTACCTCGATGGGCAAAGTCGGTATAACGAACCAGAACTCGACTTCTGGGAGAACTATTTGGGGTTGAGGATTGAGGGGCTGGGCAAAGACGACAGGTTGAAGTTCGTCTATACCAATGTCGATGAGAGGGAGTGGGACCGTGAGGCGTGGTTTGAACTGGATACCAGCGAGCGCGATTACAGGGTGCTGGAGACGCGGCCCAAGGTCGAACGCGAAGAGGTCGAGACGGTGGTGGACAGACTAAATGAAACGCGCGACTTAGCAAGCTTCCTGAAGGGCATGCGAGAGCTGTTCGTCGACGCATGCAAGTAATTGCGGGCAAGCAGCAGTCCTGTCATGATGTCCTTATGTAATTATGCCTTTAGTTTTGATAGATACCCGCAAGCTACTTTTCTTCTCGTCTCATCGACCGCCATTCTTGATCTTGTAGAACTCCGGTGCATACTCCGTCAACCAGTCCATCTCCACTGTACTTAGATCCCTTATGTAAATCTTGTCTCTCGTAGACTGAATTTCAGTGTATATAACCCAATCCGCCTTTCTCGTGAAGAACACAGAAGTCGGATGAGGCCACAGCGTGGTCTTCCCATCAACTGTCGTGAAAGTCCCATCTGCCTTCATCCTAGCAGCATGCGCGAAGAAGCCAGTCGTTAGACAGCGGCGGACGCGCTCGGCGAGTGGTGTGCCGCCCACCCTCAGCACGCCAGATGCTGCGAGAACATTCTCCTTGACGCCGAAACGATCCAAGTAAGCAGCCAGTTGTTTCCGGACGCTGACTGCCTTGACGAGCGACTTGTGGTTCAGACTGTTCGAATGACACCATGCCGTGTTACCCATTCCAGCTTTCACGAAAGCTTCGTAAACATTGTATAGTGTAAGGTGATCGCCTTCTGCTACGGCAAATTTCCGCCTCGCCGCATCAAGTTGCTTCTTTCCGCCGTCATGAGAAACGAAAGCATTGCCTTGCAGAGTCATCATTGCGGCTATTGTGAGCATTTCGCTCAAGCAGCCAAACTCCGGTTCGGCGGCCTTCAATAATGCGCGAGCAAGCATCGGTTCGAGCGGAACCTCCGCCATACGCGTCCCGAGGGGCTTCGTGAGGCGAGCATGAGCGTCCAACGCACCGAGAGAGTAGAGTAGATCTAGAGCGCGCGTTACTAGTGCTGATGGCGGCGGCGAGAGGTAATCGAACCGCACCACGTTTGTAATGCCCAAATTGAGAAGCTGCAGAATCACAGGTGCGAGATTCGAGCGGGCGAGTTCTGGGAACGTGGCTTCCTCCAAGCTTTCGTAAACGCTTTCAGGATACAGTCTGAAGCATTTGCCCGGCCTCGTCCGTCCAGCACGGCCCGCTCTTTGTGTGGCACTAGCTTTCGATACGGGCACGACAGCGAGATTTTCGATGCCTAGACTGGCGTTGTAGGCGCGAAGCTTGACATATCCTGAGTCCACCACAAAGACGATGCCGTCGATAGTCAAAGATGCCTCTGAGATGTTGGTGCTAAAGACGACGCGTCGCGTGTCTTGTGGCGGTTTTGTGAAGATGAGATTTTGGTCTTCTGTTGGCAAGCCAGCGTAGAGGGGCAAGGGCATGAGCCTTTGCTTGGATGAAGACATGTCGGCGATGCGGTCACCTAGCTTGTCGATTGCATCGTCTATTTCTTCACGTCCTGTTAAGAACACGAGAATGTCGCCTTCGCTCTCGTGCTCGTGGATCTTCATGACCGTGTCGATTGCTGCTTCCACGTAGTCGTTCGTTGGTTCCTGTAGGTACTGGATCTCAACCGGATATGTGCGCCCTTCGATACCAATGATGTACCCGAATTCTTCCTTGCTTTTGCCATGAACTTTCTCGCCATCGTCGGGGTTGAAGAAATCAAGAAAACGTTCCGCTTCTAGCGTAGCGCTACTCACAACGACGCGCAGGTCTTCTCGCTTCCTCAGCACCTTCTTCAGTAGGCTCAATAGTATGTCAGAAGACAAACTTCGTTCATGTGCTTCGTCGACCACAATGACTGAATAGCGTGAAAGGAGTGGATCGACGAGCATCTCGCGCAGTAACAGGCCATCTGTGACGAACTTTACCTGCGTAGCGGCGGACGTGACATCTTCAAATCTGATACTGTACCCGACTTGCTGACCAAGTGGCGTACCCAGTTCTTCTGCTACTCTTGCTGCTACGCTAGTACATGCTATCCGTCGGGGTTGGGTGATGGCTATTTGCTTGCCGCCATTGCACCAGCCGGCTTCTAGCAGAAATTTCGGTGTTTGGGTTGTCTTTCCTAAGGCCACATGTCAGTCATGCCCTTTTGTGAGAGATTCTAGAAGCTTACCGCTTCCTGTTTCACCAACGACAATAGTTACAGGGTATGTCTCTATCGTGTAGAGGAGTTGATCTTTGAGCTGCGCGATCGGTAGCAAAGCGGGCGGTTTGTAGAGACTTGGGATCAGGGCAGACTCAACATCTTCATCCTCCGCCATGATCTTGTGTTGGAAGTAGAATTAGATGGAAAAGGTAGAGTTGTGTCGAAGATGCTGAAAGCATCGAGTGGTGTCCGGCCTTCTTGGAGATGGCGCTAGCAGTATGCGCTAGCCATGTCGGGACTTTAGTGCCAGACGATGAGAACCTTGGAAGGAAAGCACGAAGAGGAGCACACTCATACCTTGCGTCGCACTCCGCGTCATCTATCCATCACGTATGACACCAGAGCGCCCCATATGAGTGTTTCGCCCTGAGCTTGTAAAGGAATATCACTATGCGCAAAGAAAGAACGCCCAGCAGTGCCAGCTAGCAAATTTGGTTTCCCATGATGACAATAAGCCTATGCTGCAGTTGTCAATTCACGCCTATTACCTGTCAGTAACTGTCACTACTAATCAGCTTTTGGCGGCTCAAGAGTCGCACTCAATGTAGTATAAGACGCACGCGGACGCTGTGTAGGTATAATAGAAACCATCACAGCCTCAGAGGCTACGCGTTATGCCGCTCATTTCAACTGCGCTTCCCATCAACTAGAATAGCAATACTCTAAAGCCGTAACATAGGTACTACGATATAGATGCGCACATCCTATTCTGAATGTCACAAGGTTCTACTGCTGATGCATACATTCATAAGTGAGCTTAATCATGCAGTGCTTTTGCACAATGCAACTAGAACTTCTGGGATTCCATCTTAACACGCTAATTAGGTAGTAAAATAACAATCTATAGCATAGTGTGAAGGAGTACTAGCCCAGGAAGTGTTCTCTTACTAGTGACGTTTGTAAACTTATGCGGTCAGAGACAAGAATGCCTAGGTAAGGTTAGGCTGAGTGTTTCAGCTACCCTGCTTCGATATCGGCCTGATAGAGAGTTATATCTTAGTGACCCACTTTCCTCAGCTTAGTCTACACTTCACTGTTCCACTACCTACGTGAACTTATGCCACTGGCTAAAGTTCGAGTGGTATACCTTGCGATAATCATCGTCCCCGAAGAGCTGACGAACTCACTTATAGCGTGACCTCTCAATCCCAGGTGCATCATCGAGGTACACCAGGCTCATGTACCAAACTCTCTGCGGCTGCTTACATTTGAACAGATGGCTTCCAATGACAAAGTTACTTTGCAAAACGTTGAAGACTACGCGAAAAAGTACTTTCCAGACGAGTTCGCGAAATTGCCTTCAGTCGAAGACTTGGTGTGGGTACCAGCATCACAGACTCGAACCACGAGACAGTCGCATATGAAAGTCGCCCTGGTAAAGCTTCACATCGGCGGCTATACGGCTAGCCAGGCAACATGGGCCCTCAAAGAGCTTGACGAGTCGCCCGGGGGGGTATACATACTCTCTGGAGCACAACGAAGACTATCGTCAATGTTACCGTACATCGAGAATCTCTGCCATCCATTCAAGGCCGCATATCGGCAAAGTGGATATTCATTTGATATGGCAGGGCCCGATTACGGCTTCGAGTTGAGAACTTTGATCGAGTACTACTTTTTGCTGAAGGGTGCGACAACACCCTTCAAGTATCCGTGGGCTTTAGGTAATTTTGAATGGGCGGTCAGATCGGTCGCGAATGGGGCAGCAATGAATAATATCCCCACCACCAAATTTAGCGCCGATGCAGAGACGCGGATGCGCTCTATTCAAGCTATGCTTCCATCTGCACCGCACGCATCAGCGATGTCACCGGCTGAAACTGGTATCCAAGACCGGGCTATTATTCCCATGGAAGATGTGACACGCACTGTCAAGGATCATGTCTCCGAAGAGATGGAAGGAACTGGTAAGTCATGCTCGATGTAATTGGATTGCTTCATTAGAAGTACTGGCTCACACAGAACAGGTACAACAAAACAAGAAGCACACCATACAGATAGGGTATGCTCAGCAACCTCGACCATTTAGGTGAATGAAGTTGATTATAGAACCAGATGAAAAAGCTCTTGAAAGACCAGAAGGATGCTCGAAGAAAGATTGAACAGGACATGGCGGCCACGTCAGCCCAGAAAGAGGCACACATGGCAAGGATCCAACTGCTCGAAAATGAGCTCTCTGAGGCACAGGCAGCGCGCAAAGCAACCGACGGAGCTATGGCAGCTCTGCATGAGCGACACGAACAGATGCAAAAGCTCCTAGATACCAGTCGAACTGAGAACGAAGAAGTCAGAAGGAAGCTGAAGACACTTGGTAACAGCAGCGTTAAATACGCCCGCTTATGGAAACTGAGGGCGCGAGCAGAACGAGACAGACGGTCAGAGGCGGAGGACAAGCTTAAGGAAGAATGTGCTCGCACAGAAGCCAGGATGCAGAAAGCGCGAGCATTCTACACAAACCAGAAAGAGTTGCTCGAGATACAGGTTGCAGAATGTGCGGAAGAAGAGAAGGAGTCAATTATGGAAGCATTCAAGGCAGAGTATGGAGAGCTTTTCCCAGAATGAGGACAGCGCGAGCATCTGCGAGTATCTTGAAGCGGCCGCAATGATGAGATACGGTAGGATTGCTGGGATACATTGCGGGTCCAGATGTTTGACTGCGCTGAGCTGAAGATTGCGGTCTTCTTTGGAGAACGTTTGGATCTTTTGAGGGACTGAGCCTTGATGCAACCGCCCGGGCGGCATGAGCATAATACTCAGAAACCATGGAGGCGAGACAATGTTACGGGGCGAAAGGATCAAGATGAATCAAGGCCCGGTAGCGAATAGCAGAGAAAAGATCGGCTCAGGCACTACAAGCTACCGCACTGGAAATAGCAAAAACATTGATTTCGATTCCCGTTTTGTATTGATTGAGCAGTCGCGACTGCTGGGTGATGACGTCTGACGCTAACTCACGCTTATCGATAGCCCCTCTAACATTTTCGACAGGGCGCGACTCACAGCCCAAGACATACGCAAATGGCATTTCGCAAGCGCAACATCGCGCTATCTCGCGCACCGGCAGGCGAAGACGCGTCAAATGCGCCATCGTCTCCCTCGATTGCACAACCTGCACCAACACCCCCCGGTGTCCGCCCCTCACCCATTGATGGCCGCCCCACCACGTCGACCGGCACACCCTCGCTTGATGGCATCTTAGCAGGACATGCTGGCCTAGCACTGGGGAACTCGATACTCATAGGCGAAAGTGGAACGACGGACTATGCTGGCGCATTACTGCGATTCTACGCGGCTGAGGGAGTGGTGCAAGGCCATAAAGTGCATGTAGTCGGCATGGGCGAAGTGTGGGGCAGGGAATTGCCGGGCATATCAGAAGACAAGTCGGACAAGAGGAAGGAAGGGAAGGAGCGCGCAGAGAAGATGAAGATCGCGTGGAGATATGAAGGTCTGGGGCAGTTTGAAAGTGCTAGAGGTGCGTTGTGTACATATACTCTCCGAATGCAAGACAATCTATCGAGCAGTTTTGACGAGGTTTTCAATAGGCTCTCCCCATGTGCAGAGGACAGCAGGCCAAGGCGATAGTGCGACAGAAGAACAGATGGTCTTCTGCCATACCTTCGATCTTGCCAAACGTCTCACGCTCCCTGTAGGGACAGCGATCAACTATGTGCCCATACCTCCACCGAGAGGCACTTCGTCACCCTTCCATCCGATACTGCAAAACTTACGGCAGCAGCTAGAGTCGACACCACCACACACGATTCATCGCGTTGTGATACCATCTCTCCTTTCGCCGGCATTATACTCCCCGTCGGCGGCCCACCCAACCGCCGTACTCCAATTCCTCCACGCTCTACGCGCGCTACTCCGACAGTATCAAACGCGCCTGACCGCCATTATTACAATCCCATTGACCCTGTATCCAAGATCCTCGGGGCTTGTCCGCTGGATGGAGATCCTCTCTGACGGTGTCGTTGAGCTGTCTCCATTCCCATACTCGCGTGCGCAAGCGCTTGCACAATCGGCAGGTGCGACGAAGGAAGAAGAACGACCGCAGGGTATGTTCGCCGTTCATAAACTACCGGTGTTTCATGAGAAGGGCGGCGGTGGTGGTGCAGGAGACTTGGGCGAGGACATGGCGTTTACGCTGAGTAGGCGGAAATTTGTGATCGCGAAGTACAGCCTGCCGCCGATGGAAGGCGATACCGAGGCACAGGAGGAGGCTGTGCGAGAGGCGGCTGGTGGTAGCAAGATGCCGAAGAAGCAGGACCTGGAGTTCTAGAAGGCTCCGGTCGGCGGTAGCGTGTAGATGAAGATACCCTGTACAGCACCGAGATGGGCAGTCAAGCCATGCTTCTCGTCGCGCGTGTCAAGTTCCTCATTCCGAGTCGCTGTCTTCTCCCATCATGTCTTCCATCTCAATTTGTTCCCAGCCGCCGGTGCCTGCTCCAGACCCAAAGCCTCGCGTGTAGTTTCGACCGAACGATGCGTTTCGAGGATTGAATGTGACGCCGGCGAATCTTGCGCGGAAGCCGTCGCCCATACACGAAGATGCGGCTAGAAATGCGAGGAAGAAGAGAAATGGGATGAAGAGCAACAGGCTCAGGAGAACCAGGACGTTCATGGCGGGCTTGTGGTGTGGGCGGTGCGGTGAAAGAGAGCTGCACGTGGAAACCTTAAGTTCGAGGCCCCTATGACATAGTGTCGGCGGTTGGCCCCATGGGGACCGAGCCCCTGGCCGCCGTCAACATTTGGGCTACGACTCAACTCAGCCTTCACATTCTCTCGAGTCTCACAATTCTACAAAAGATGGATCGCATGTTCAAACTACCACTTGGCGCGCTCCTGCTGCTTTCATGCGCCCTCAATGCCTCGGCGCACGGCGGCGCCGAACATGCGCAAGTCGAAGTCCCAGCGGACGCCGACTGGGCGACGCGACACATGGCTGGTACGAACTTCCCCAGATCCCCACAACATGAAACAAAGAAGAAGGTCCATTCACTGACAATGTCGCAGAGGAGCATCACATCGCGGGTTACGACGCAACCACCTTCTTCAACATGCACGACTACGACAGTACTGGTCTATGGACTACCGTCGACATCCGCCGAACCTACGGTCTCGAAGACCCCTCCAGCGCCTCCATCTCCGAAACCAAGAAGCAAATGGTCGTCCAGACTATTCTAGACATGTTCGATATCAACAAGGATGGTTCTATCACCTTGGCTGAGTTCCTGCAAAAGGATTCGGAGAACGTCAAGCTCCCGGACTTCGGCATGGGCCCAGGCCACCACGGTGACGACGAGTACGAATACGAGATCCATCATTGGGAGAAGTACCACAGTGGCGACGATGTGAAGGAGGAAGACTTGAACCACCCAGAGGACATTGCGCATTTCAAGATGCATGAGGAGAAGGAGGCGGCACAAGAGGAGTGGGAGAGGCTCGAGCTCAGAGGCGTCGTAGAGAAGAACATTCCCCAGAAATACAGGCGGAATTGAGAGGCCCAGAAAAGGTCTCTTGACAGGCGAACGACGCTAGGGTGGATATAATGAGTCTTGAATACGCGGAGATGATACCTATGCCAATGTACGGCTACCGAATTACAGAGCACTTTTCAGAGCCATTTCTCGAACCACGCAAGTACCTGCTTCTCCGAGTCCTCCAGCGCCCTCCTCTCCTGCGGATCGTCGGGGTTGCCTCTGACCGCGAACCCATGCCTGCCAGGCGTATACGCCTTGTGTTCGATCTCAGGGAACTCCTTTCGCGCCTTCTGTGCCTTCGCATGACATTCTTCCACCTTGCTCTTCGTCTCAAAGCTCACAGCGATATCCTCCACGCCCCACGCAAAGCTCGTCGGGACAACGAGACCCTCGACGTCCTCGGGGACGACCAGGTGGCTTGGATGTAGCGCCACGATCGCATCGACAAGCGGCTTCTTCACACCTTCGATCTCAATCATGTTGCTCTCCAACCCCGTACGAGCAGCATACTTTCCGCCCCAGCAGAACCCAACCATACCGATCTTCCTCTCCCTCGGCGTCGCGCGCCTCAACTCCCGCATAAAGTCAAGACAGATCTTATCCGACTCAGCCTTCCCGTGCCTCCGCTGCCACATCAGGAACGTCGGCAAACTCGCCAAGATACCCGTATACTTCGCAAACGTACTCTGTGCCGCCGCGTCTACTGGAAGCAGCGCATCAGCGACTTTGAGTCCGACGGGGTCGCCCTTGAAGAAGTCTGGAAGTAAGACTAGGTACTCTCCTGAGGCGGCGTAGGCGTCAGCGATGATCTTGTTGTTGGGAAGACCCAGGCCGAAGATATCGGAGTATATGCAGATTGTTGCGCGTGGTGTGGTCCGGTTTCCGACTGTGTAGACGGAGAGGCCGTGGAGTGTTTCGATGGTGCCTTTGGGTGTTCCCGCGTGGATTGAGCCCTTGATGCACTCTGTTGAGCAGGAGGTTCCTGATGTCATGATGATTGTACTGGTACGGAGACTGATGCTCGAGTGGTAATATTGATCGGATACGGTTTGATAGAGAAGAACTTTGTCAAGAAGTGTTGTAAAAAGTATGGACTGCTGTCGTTGATCACAGCTCTACCTCCTACCTTTATACACCCTCTGTCCACGGTACACCTTCATCTAAACGGTCTCACCGTCAGAACAAGCATCGTACCAAGCGCTGATAGCGCGACTATTACCCTTTACGTCTGCATGACTCTGTAGCCACCAACTGGATCATAGTCCATTCTCGCCAATCGTAGATCTCATGAATGGTGGAATAAGTGAGCAGGCTGTTACGCCCGGCCGATAAGGGTCATCACACGCTAAGCCTCTTGCGGCTTTTTGAGCGAGAGCGTCAGCATTGAGAACGCGCGCGGGGAAATTGGTGCGTCTTCTACATGGCGTATGTTGAACAGTACTTTCACACTCTCAGCTGTGTCTCCTGCGCGTTTTCCGTCGACCCAGTTTGCGGTCCCTTCTCACGCGCCTCTTCTCGTACCTCCCGCTTCTAGCGCTTCCAAGGTGAATGTTGTATTGTCACCTACCTGCGATGTTCGATCTTGCATCAATGAAGAAGCTTCTTGATCAAAGGAAGCTGCGATACAGGGAATACATGGTCGGGAGGACTTCAGTATTCTTCGCTGAATCTAACGTCATGCACCACTCTCGCCCTGATGCCTGGCGGTACCGGCATGCAACCACCCCATCGGTCTGTCGAGACACGATTGCTACATTAAGCGTGAGATGTATGAGAATTGCGCTTCCGACCTATTGCATAAGCGAAAGACTGACTGGAGTGGGCATCTGCTGGAATCCTGGGTCGGTACGGCAGAGCCTTGGAAACGTTCACGGGTCTGCAGGGTCCACATCACGTGCTTACCGTCTGCCTAGGAACCGCCATACAATAAAGCCCAGATTTTCCCGCGGATAGTCGGCAAATTCTTCAACGCTCTTCTCTCTCTACAAAGCCTCAGATATACCTCGTCTCACAGTACCTAGGTAGCCAGCATGGTCGACAACGAGGGTTCTGCCTCCATGAACGGACCCAAGAATGCTGACCAGCTAGAGCAAACTATCGGAGGATGGAGAGCTTCCGCTCTGCGCACAATCGACAAAAGAGTTGCTTTCTACGACCCCAAGCCCACAAACCAGAACGCGTCGCCCGACACGTCGTCAGTCTCACGACACGCAGGTCATGGCGGATCTCACCGCGCCCTAAACGTCATCGAATTGCTCGAGCAAATTCTTTCCTACGCCTCCCCAAGGACTCACTATGCAGCATGGAATGTGTCAAGACGTTGGAGAGAGGTCGTTGTTCACATGTTAGATACACAATACCATGCTCCGTACCCCTGCGCAGCTGTCGAACACGGTGACACGATTCCGCCGAACATGAAGCGGCTTTCTCCATCTGAAGACGAAGTCGCACAACTTCAGGAGCATTTCTATACCAACTCTATACTCAATGGTAAACTTCGCCTCGGTTGGACTGAGCCGTTCGTCACGGCGCGATTCACGCAAGCGGATACACTCCCACATTCAATGCTCACTGCTCTTCATACCAGCATTCACCGAGACTTCAAATCGCACGAATTGAGAAGCTTTTATTCTCTGTCAGATGGTCATCGATGGATGGATCTGTCCCAATTTGAAGTGAATCCATACTTCGTCGATTTATTCGGGGATTGCTTCCAACCATTCCAGGGCAACTACACCATTACGGTAAAGCCTCACATACAAGACTATCTCAGAAGCCTAGCATCAAGCACAAGTCCATCCCGGGAGCAGCTTATCCACAGCATGTTTGTTACCCAACCACCGTGCAAGGTTTTGCGAATTTACGCGACAACGAAGTCTGGCGAAGGACTGCAAGTGGTGGGTAGCGTAAACCGAACGGACGGAGTTCGCATTGGAGACCTTCTGCCTCAACTACAACAGCACCTATCTACAGCGACTGAGCTGTGGCGCACACGCTCTCTATCCCTGCGGAAAGAAATTGTGAGAAATGAATCTCGTTGGGATTTGCACCATGCTTGGACCTGTCCCGGCTTTCCGAAGCTCTTTATCTTCCTTGAGGCTGCGGAACAACCTCACCCGTCATTCGCACAATATCTCTGCACTTTCGATCAGCGACACACAGAGATGCACACGAGGGAGTGGCATGAGGACGTTTCGAAGTCGAAGAAATTGTGGAAGGACATATGGTTCTCGAAGACCTAAGCTGAGATCGACGCAGCGATGCCATTTTTGGCGAATGACTAAAAAACTCACGTAATTCGTGAGACTATCCTTGCTGGGAGTGGCAATGAGTCTTTTGGCAAAGCTGCGAGATGTTGGACGAGACCAAAGCTGGCCTACATGCATCGAAGAGGGAACATCTTAGACTCGTTCTCTTTTACCTATACATCGGAAGTGCTCACATTTTCAGCTCTGGAAGCTCATCACACGAGACATGTTCGTTCTCAGATAGTCATCTCGACGGTGTGCAGAGCATGACTCATTTGTATTACCCGGCCCTCTTGGCACTAGCTTACAGACAGCCTCATCGTACTAGGCTATTGATGTATGCAACTCCCTCAGCTCTATCGTCGTCATCCTCGATATAGCTTTGGTCTTTTCGGAAGACAAAATTGGTGGCATTGGTTGCATAGCTCGGCCATTCAGGAGCTTGGGATACTGCAACGCGAGTTAGTATACTATTACCCACACAATAAAAGACATTCAAACTTACCTCCATGGCCATTAGGATTAAGATCGTAGGCGAACGAAGTCCACATGCGCATGACAAGCTTTGACAATGCAACATTTTCGGAGCTGTTGCCCAATGGGGTAAGCTGCTGTTCTGGGTTTCCAAAGACGAAGGGTATCTGTCCTAAAGTCAGTCCTTGCTTCTTTGACAACTCAATGGTGGTGCGGTACTGACCTCAGAGAAGTGATTGACGCCGATCGTTTCCGGTGTGTTGTTGAACTTGGGCGCATCCCATCGATACGAGTAGACCTGATCGACATGGTCACTCATGCTCTGCGCGAGCAATCTCCGAGGAGCATACATTGTCAGATCAGTTGCGATACTTTGGTAACGTTTGTATTGTAACCCAAACTGCGGCCATGTGCGATTTCCCCATCCGTACGGCTCGCCGAGTGTAGGGTCGTTCGGGTACAGCTCAAGAAGTTTCTCCGCGACAGTCTCGTTGACGTTCCAGCGTTTGGAGTGTACGAGTTGATTGATAGCGTCGGGGTCGCTGTTCACCCCGTTCACACCAAAGCCTTCGTCGGTGTTGGTGCCGAGAATAAGCGGAATTTTCGCAAACTTGCCTTCCCGCAACGATTGTTGGCCGTACCGAGGTATCAGGCTACCATCTATGACGTGGAACCATTCGAGACCTTGGTAGCCATATGGTGCGATGGTCTCGTAGGGTACGTCACGAAGACACTGGAGCGTGTCTTCGGCATCTGAGCAGCCGACCGACTCGGTCAGATTGTCGTACATGTGCTGATACCAGTCGGTGCCGTTGAGTGGTGCACCGACAGCATTGCCGCTTTCTAGGATAGCCGCGCGAAACAGGCCCTCGTTGTCGCCGTTGTATGCAGCGATGTGGTCACCAACGGAGTATGCGCCTGCCGATTCACCCCAGATTGTGACTTTTTCGGGGTCACCCCCAAAGGCGGAGATATGCTTGTTGACCCACTGCATCGCAAGTCGCTGGTCGCGAAGTCCTAGATTTTGTGCGCCAGCAGCCTCAACTTCTTCACTGTACAGGAAGCCAAATGCTGCCATGCGGTAATTGATCGAGATGCCAATGACGGGCTTGTTGTTGAGTACTGATTGCTGAACAATGTAGCTCATGTTGTATCTGGCGTTGATGAGTATTTCATCCCGAATGCAGTCACTTCAGAGAGCTTACCTTGGATCACTAGTAGCACCCTGCTGCCATCCGCCTCCGTAGATCCATAGCAATATCGGGAGATGTGTCTCATTTGTCCTTGGTTTGACGATGTTTAGTTGTAGACAGTCCTCTCCCAGTTTTGTCCAATTTGCGGCAACCAGGGTGTTTGTGTCTCCACCATATCCTGTGCAGTCAACACCGTACTGCGTGGCATTGTGGTATGTTGTAGGTGAATCCGGTGCTAATTGAGCGGGAGCGAATCTCACCGGCTTTGGAGCATACTTGACACCTAGGAATAGGTCTTGGTCGAATCCCTGCAGGAAACGTCCTTGGTATATGCCAGCCTGCGAATGAACGATTGGTGATGATGCGAGAACGGGAGTGGCGAAACACACGGCGGCCAACCAGGATTTTCGAAGCTTCATGGCGGGAGGATCTGGGGAATTGCGCCATGCTTGCAACGCATATGCATTCGCTCATATACAACAGCTGCCATCTGAAGCCTCTCCATGAGGCTGTACGGAAGCGTCGTTCCTGAAGATCCACCAATGAGAAATATGAATACATCGCCGTCTACATAGCCGGTAGTCATTTGCCGAACAGAATCATTCTAGGGTTGTTTGCAATCTTGGCATTGTAATGGTTGCTTGGGCGCCCGGGCGAAGCGCATGGGAACAGTCGTGATGAAGGTGTCAGCCTATCGGACTGCATAAGTCAGGTATGCAGTGTCTCATGCGATGACATACAACTGCGAAGCCGGTCAGCACAGTCAAGACAATGATGATGTGTCAAATTAGCCGGCGAGTTGATGCATCTCGGTTGATGCAAATTAGTGGCTAGTCCGGGGTAGACATTCGCTCCACATTACCCCGCAAGCATCACGATATGCCGTGCATAAGGCACCGTGCGCAGGTCATTCAACCGGAAACTTGGTCGAAGTCCGGACAGGTTGGACAGAATATCACAAACCCCAAGACCCGTGTCCGGAATAATTGACTTTCCGCCCTATTCCAAGAGACTGGTTGGACAGCAAAGAGGTCGTTAACGAACACATGGAAAGAAGCCTTAGGATCAATTTAAGCCGACGCCAAAGAAAGCCCTGCGACTCTTCACGTGACTCACATCCGTCACGCAGAGGCCCTCATAAGCCATGCTCTCTCTCAGTAATGTGGCACCACATTTGGTCTTGCAGGAAGACGCCGAAGTAATTCTTAGATCTCCACGGTTTCTCTGGGCTTGCAAGAGACCAATCGAAGTGTCGTAGGAACTAGACGCAAGTCAGCATGGGGACTCGGCACGAAAGTTTGGAACAACGTACCTCGAAGATGACCTTCCTCATCTCCAACCATGCTATAGGCTTCCCAAGACACTGGTACTTGCCATACCCGAAGATCATGTCTGTAGTACGGCGCATAGCGTTCAAGCGCTCAAGCTGGATGTCGTTGTGCTCATCGAGTAGCCAACGTTCCGGTCTGAAGCAGTCGACATCTTCACCAAATATCTCTTTGTTTCGATTAAGGCCCATTACGTTATACCCAATGTTGGTACCGCCAGGAAGGAAATACGCTTTACCGTTGATTGTAACATTGTCGCCTTCGACGGGTACCTTCTTCGGAGCGATATCAGTGACAGGTGGGTGAATTCGAAGCCCTTCACGCATTACGGCTTGTAGGTATGGCAGGCTCTTCATCGTCTCGTCAGACACGATACCGGACGATGTAGCAGCATGACCTGAAGTAACTGCATCATCAATCTCGGCTTGCAGCCTTTTGTACGCCCTATGGCTGGTCATCAGGTAGAGCATCGTTCCACGTATAGCAGTCGCAGTCGTGTCAGACCCTGCTAGAATGGTGAGCATCGACTCAGTCACGATATCGTCGCGTGTCAATCCGTGGCGTATGAACGACGAGAGCATGTCCGAGCGACTATTGGTGGGCTTCTCCAGACGCGAATCGATGAGTTCCCGAGCTACCGTTCTCATCTTTCCATAACCACTCTTGTCCTTGTCTGAGGGCCCGAGCATGCGCGCGATGGGTGGCCAGTGGAGGTAAGGAGTCAGTCCAAGGGCCCCGGTGAAGACCATAATTGCCAACCCGACTCGACCAGCGCTTATATAATCGTCGAGGTCAGCATCGGCTTTGATGTCCCCAAACGCTTTACCGAAGCCGATTTTGCTGATCACGTCGAGAGTAAGATACTGAATCTTACTGGCGAGATCCACCGGCTCGTGCCGCGTAGCAGTCGAAAGATACTTTGATCTGATCAGGTCCAGAAGCTGGTGTATGTGTTCGTCCATGTCAGATTCCAGGGACCAATTCTCTTTGCCTGAGTACCCAGACGCCATCTGTTGGCGCCGCTTCGTGTGCTGAGCCTCGTCGAGTTGGCTAAAAACATGGTCCTTGCCAACCTCCATCCGCACGGCACTGTTGTACCATGCTGTGCGAGTGTATGGCGAGCGCACTGCGTTCATATGGGCCAGCAGATCTGGCGACGATGTTAAAAGGTCGTTGGGACCAATGCGAGCGAGGGGTCCTGTAGTTCGGCGCTGTCAGCAAGGGGCAAGCGGGCCGCACAGGGGCGAGACGGCGCCTCTCCCGCGCAGCGACCTTGGGACTTCCACCTATCTACTCACCATATTCATCGCCAACGGCTTTGTACCAGAGATGCGAATGTCGACTCAGTATCGCGCGCATATGCAGCAGTTCACACCATCCCGAGCTGATCGGACCAGGGAAGGCTCGAAGGCGCCGGTAGCGAACGAAGGTCGCCACAGCATAGGCCACAAGAATGACCGCTACAAGTAGCCATTTCGCCGCGTAGAGCTGCGCAAACAAAGACATGATGAATATGCGATATGCTCACTCAAGAAAACGGACATGAGTCAGGCTACTAATGAACCTTCCTGTCCGAGCGGGGTCGCTCGCTCCTGCACGCATCTCACCACAACCGCATGCTGCGATGCACAGCAACGCTTACGAAGTCTGACTTACTACGGAAATGAGGACCAATGAGCACCTCATACCGATCACGAGCGGTCCACACGACCGGCAGATGCCAACGCGCACTATCGAGTGCCAATGACACGAGCGTTCGGGTGGCACAGCAGCATAGCAACGCGATAGCAGCGACATAAGAGAAGACGCTCGCTAGACGATCGGAGTGATACCTTTCGAACGGACAGCCATGATTCCACGAATTCTATCAGTTGGATTAGCCGTCACTTGCGCTAATGCGCTCCCACGCGCTGCTTTCAAACGCCACATCTCAGAGCTTCGGCCTACCTATGATGTCGTAATTTGTGGTGGAGGAACTGCTGGTCTTACAGTAGCTGATCGACTTACTGAGGCCTTCCCAGAGAGCAAGTTCTCACATCCGTCTACAAAGTACTTTTGACTGACCTCCATCGCAGAAACAGTGCTGGTTGTCGAGTACGGCGAAGTCGCATATGCGCCAGGGGCATTTGATCCGCCAAGTCTCGTTTGGGGCGGGCCAACTAACAAATCGGGATACTTCACATTCAACTCAGTACCTAATCCGGAAATGAATGGCAGACAGGCTTTGCTGCTCGTTGGCCAGACTGTCGGTGGCAGTAGCGCCATCAACGGCCAGTACTTTGATCGCGGATCTAGACATGACTACGACGCTTGGACCCAGATTGGAGGTCCTGAGTTTGCAAACAGTACGACCAAGTGGGATTGGGAGAGCCTGTTTCCCTACTTCAAGAAAGTGAGTATGGTTGCCGCTCGTGTCTGACGTTAAGCTGACTCCATATAGAGCGTGACCTTCACTCCACCTGAGCCAAGCGTGGTGGAACAGTATGGGTTCACTTGGGACATGTCCGCGTATGGCAGCACGACTCCCATCCATTCGAGTTTCCCACCTTTTCTATGGGGCGACATTCACCTCGCGAGGGATGCTTGGAGAGACATGGGTATCCGGGCCCTGGACGAGTGCGCAGGTGGGTTCAAAGAAGGCCTGTGTTGGACACCCATATCTCAGCATCCAGTCACGGCCAGGCGCTCGCACGCTGGTCTGGGCCACTACTCCGACGTTTCTGGTAGACCAAACTACGACTTGCTGGTCAAGCATCAGGTTATAAGGGTTGTCTACACTGACGGCGTCTCACACGGGCCACCAAGGGTAGAGATACGATCTCTTTCTAACGATGAAGTGTTCAATGTAACCGCCAAAGCCGAAATTATCATTTCTGCCGGCGCAATGCACACGCCTACCATCCTACAAAGGAGTGGCATTGGACCTGCAGCTCTCCTCAATGACTTGAACATCACCGCAGTACTGGATCTTCCTGGTGTAGGCTCAAACTTGCAAGATCACTCTTCTCCCGGCATATCCTGGAACTGTAAGTAATTTGGTCGCTCGTAAGGATGACACCCTGATCACTGACTGTGGGATAGATACGAAGCCTGGCAACTTCTCCAACATGCCTTCAGACATGCTTGATCCTGCTTATGCCGCCAGAGCAGTAGCAGAATTCAATATGACGCCAGCACGAGGCACTTACACGTTGGCCATGAGTAATACTGCCCTGTACATCTCACTTCCTAACGTGACCGAGGAGTACATGGAAATTATTGAGGAAATGCGCAAGACGGCTGATAGCGACTCAGCGGCTGCTCATTTGCCAGAGAACTCCGACCCAAGCCTTGTTGCTGGCTACAAACGTCAGCTTCACGTCCTTGCCGACTTTCTCGCAAACCCAGAAGCCCCCAGTGTAGAAGTGCCCTTTGCGACTGGGACGACGATGCGCCCCATCATTCTCCATCCATTGAGTCGCGGTACTGTCCACCTCAATTCAACCGACCTGTTAGCTCAGCCTATACTTGATTACCGCGCTGGCTCCAGTCCCATCGACTTCTCCATCCACATTGCGCATCTCAAATGGCTTCGTAAGGTACTGGATACTCCGACTATGCGCAGGTACGGTGCGGTTGAAGCCACTCCTGGTCCAGCTGTTCAGTCAGATGAAGACCTCAAATCTTACATAAAGAGTTCCATGGTACTCTCGCATCTGCACCCATGCTGCACAGCTGCGATGATGCCGAGGAATCTGGGAGGCGTGGTAGGACCAGATCTAAGGGTGCATGGTGCGGCCGGATTGCGCGTTGTTGATATCAGTATTCTGCCTTTCCTACCAAGTGCACATACGAGCTCAACAGCGTATGCGATTGCAGAGAAGGTCAGTGGGATTGTGAATGTTGCAGGATATACGCTAACGTTGGACAGGCTGCGGACATCATCATAAACAGTCTATAAACCATCCTTGTCAATACCAGTTAGAGACTACAACGTGTTATAGGTAGCAAATACATAGTACAATGCAACTGTTGCATGATGGAGAGTATTCACGATGTCAAGAGACGTCGTTCGACTTGTACATCTGCGGACAGCTTCTGCAGTTCTTGACTTAACTCGTCCGCCGCAGCATTCAATTTCGCATCATCGATGGCTTCCAACGCATCCAGAATGAAGAGTACATTCGATGTGCCGTCGCTCAATGCAGTCCTCGAGCATTGCCTCCAATTCCAACGTCTGCACGTCACACCACCATCGTCGCACCAGACTGCCTCTCCGGGACTTGGGTGCTCAATGACGACTTCGCCGCCAGATTTTGTGTCAAACTTCTCATCGCCTTTTGCGCGTATCAGGAAAGGGCTTCCTTGGTATTTGTCAAGATCCTCGCCTCCAAGAGGGATCTGATGTTTGATGGAAATTCCATTGTAAACATCCGTCAAGCGATTCACACGCGGTAGGCCTGCGTCAACACGACGTAACAGGGCTTCGAGACTGTTCATGGTCTTCTTGGGCTTTGCGCCGAAGGCTTTGTAGGCTTCCTTCCATTGTGCGACATGCGCAGTGTCGTTCACCGGCGTTTTTGCCAGTGCTTCTTTGGCTGATGCTTCTGCCGAAGAGAGGAAAGCTTCACTTGCTGAGTCGGAAGGGCCTGGTGGTATGTTCGTGACCACCATGAGTAGGGCGCGATAATCAGGCCGGAGTTGGAAGATTTCTGGGGCGATGCGCGCGTTGGCAAGATAACTTGAAGGGTTTTGGGTGTTCGCCATTTTGGATGTAGTCGTGAATGAGAGATGTGCCAAAGACCGTGAGAGAGGTTTGAAAACAGATGCGATGATGGGCAAAGCGCGTACAAATGTGTACATGTAGACTCTATGAAGCTATCCCGGTATTTAAGTATTGTCTACGCTGTTTTGCTAAGCGCTCTAATTTTCCATGTTTGGAACCAGACTTCCACATTTGACCACAGGGCGTGGAAGTGGAATTCTCTGTTGACAACTTGACATGGACCAGTCTAGCCGCTTTCCGCTGCAGCTAGCGTGGTGCTAGTGAAGACCTGGCACCCACCATCGTACATCGTCGCGTGCAATCAACGCGTCGCCCACATCGGCGTCATCGCCACCCAGTATGTCGTTCCTGGTCAATCCATTTTCTCGGTCATCTCAGGCTGGTAACGCGTGGTTTTGCGCTGGCGCAGTGACGTCGTACCCAAATGTCGACGATACCGCGCGCGTCGGCGAACAGCGCCCATGCGGCGAAAAGTATGTGGCTGGATGCCGGGTGTTTCACGTGCCTCGCGACGACAGCTCTAAAGCCACGGAGGTAGCGATTGACGACTGGAAGGACCCCGAAGTTGGTGGCGATGCAAAGGACCAAGTGATGGTATTCCAGTACAAAGGAAAATTTGTAGCAGTCAACCACGTACGTCACGACATTGGCACTATGTGCACTGGCCTATGTTGACCAAGACCCGCACAGGAATGCCCGCACTCTTCGTATCCACTCTCTAATGGTACACCCTTCGATATCGAAGACTTTGGCGTCGTGCTCAGTTCAGGCATTCAGTGTCCAAAGCACGACTGGTCGTTCGATCTTCATACTGGTCGATCGGACCGCGGTAGCTATAGGCTTCAAGTTTGGGAAATCCAGCAAAGGCTAGGGAATGAAGATCAAGAGGTATGGGTCAGAAGAAAGCAGAGAATCGGATAACATAACACGATGTGGACCTACACCCAATGTCGCGAACGAACGCTTGACCTTATCAACGGAACAGTTTCGTATTAGCACACTATCGCATGCGCTATTCTCTACAACTTGATCCCCGTTACTTCGAAAGTCTGCACCATGTTCTTCTCGAACTTCGACCAGAACTTTGTGCCACTGATCGTGGTATCGAGATGCTGCACGTAACGATCGCCGCTCCCGATCTGGGTGCTCCACCTCGAGACAGTTGCGCCGGATGAAGGACGCCCCGAAAACCCCGACAGCTCAAAGTTTATATACTGTGCAGCGTCCCAGTTCACGGCAACGATGACCAACATCGACTTGCTAGCATCGTAGGCAGCGACGACGTTGTCTCGACCACCATCGAGGATTTTCATACCCGGGCGCATGTGCCGGGCGAACTGCGCAAGCACGTAGTACTTTTGTGTCGATGTACCCAGCGTTTTCGCATCATTATCCGCATCGATGAGACCCCAGCCTCCCTGATCGAGGACTTGCCAGTACTCCCACGCCGTAGGCTTCAGCTGGCGAAGATCCTGGAAGAGGTACTTGGCGAAGTTCTCGCCAGAAGCCACGCCATCACCGTATTCGCTGTTCCAGAGAGCTTTTCCGGCCTGTGTAGCCAGTGTGCGAACACCAGCGCGGTCGCCGCTGCCGTATTGGTATCCATGGACGTTTATCCGGTTGATCTTGGCGAGTGCGCTACTGCCGATTGTCTTCAACGTGGTGGCAGCTTGATCGTAGTACGACTCATCTGAGGCGGCGATCTTTGTTGAGAGCCCGCGATTTGAGAGTTGTGTGTCGAGATAACCGACGATCTTGGCTTGGGTGGACACGTCCACGTGGCATCCTTCTTGGGTGCCGTCGGCCTTCCACCAGTTGGCACTCGGCTCGTTGAAAGGGTCGACAGTTTCGAATTCGACTCCCCAGTTATCCTTGAAATGCTTTGCGACCGTCGCCATATATACTGCATGCTGCTCCAAGTTCCACGATTGGATGTTCTCGCTTCCGTCCGCAGCTCCCGATGGATTGTGGTTCTTCGTCATCCTGAACAAGTCAATACCTCACACACATTTTTTCCATGAGTTGTACCTACCACCACATCGGTGCGTTTGAGAATAACTCTGTTCTATCCGCTCCACGTGCGATCGCTTTTTGAAGTGCTGCTCGCTGGTTGACATCGACTGTCCTAAGATACAGACGGTGGTTAGTAAATAGCCTCGTGGCACACCGGGGACTTAGGTATCATACCAATTCCAGCTAGAAGAAGCAGGGTCGCTGCTCTTCCAGTCCAACCAGTAGCCTTCCATCTGCCTCGACCTTTTTACATTTGGAGACACAACCATCTTCTCCCCATCGATGGTGTTCCAACTACAGGCGCCGGCATTGTAGCGTACGATGTTGAAGCCAAGACCCGGAAGAGTCTCGCCGTTGAACTTGGTCTGCTTCAGCGTAAAGAAGATATCCGCGAGATCGTCTCTGTTGCCAAATTGCTGGGCCCACCATGCCAACGACGTTCCCCAGCCTTCCCAAGTACCCCACTTCGACTTTGGGTCAATAGTAGTCGTCACATCGGCATCAACCGAGTAACTGCTGGCTAGAACGACGGCCGCTCTGATGAATGTCGATGTACGCATTGTAATGTGGTATTGGGCGGAGCGGTTGATGTTCACTACATACTCTCATCGTCGCTCTCTTATTAAATATAGCAGTCAACTCAATCTCGGCGCCTCATTCAGGTAACGCGCCCGCACACACCATCTTCTCACTAACTTCCACTTGGCTCTTGGATAATGCTGGAAGCGGGGTAGTCTATACACGATGTAGTGGTACTACCTCGGCGCCCGACCGTTTCCTTACGGCGAAGCTTGGACGACGAGCCACTCACTACACCCACATTAAGACTAAAGCCCATCCGCGAATGAGGATGTTCAAAGAATCAAGGTTGCGCCGGCGCTTGGTAGAGTTCCAACGAACCGGATTACAGCCGGAGTTACTCCGTCGACGAACTTTACCGTTGCAGTGGCAGCGGAGGATTTCGGCGTAGAGTTCTTCCGCATTAGCATATGTTATGCCTCACGATGACGGCAGTGGGACATATGCCGAAGCCATGCGACAGTAATAGGATGCATGTAACGATATTGGGTGTTGCATCCGCCATTAAGGTTCGGGTGTGGAGGCGGACGCTAAGGGGCTGGTCCCCACCATGTCACCCTTGCCACCGGATCACGAGTTGCGGAGTGGAGAATCTATCGGGTTGCGGATTAAGTGGCACCCGCAGTAAGTCAGATGATACAGTATTCTCACGGTCATAGTGTTTAAAACGGCAGGTCTGATATGCCTTGGTATAGTAGAGACGTCATGTAGAAGGGCTAAGTGATTATTGGGGATGTAAGTCCGCCTTGGATATTAATATTGCACACATACTACTGTATTATGCTAACATGCTTAGAAGAGCTTTGCGGAGCCCAGCATTGCGCTGCTACCCTCGGTCGTGTTACCGGAAACTGTGCCGTTGGCATCGGCCTGGTTTAACCAAGCAGCCTTCAAAGACCAAACGCCAACACTGGCGGTTACTGTTTCGTTCAAGCCCGCCACCCTCAGCATCATCGTGTCGAGCGGTTGCGTAGGGAAGAAGACTGCGGTCGCACCAAGCTCGCCTTCGTTCAGGAAGACCTCAATAATGCTCCTGTCGATGATACCAGAAATCTTCCATGAGCCCTGTCTATCGTCGTAAAGACCGGTGGCAGTGAATTTGTCGTTGAAGTAAGGGCTCTGGAAAGCCTCAGTCTTTCCGCGGTCCAGCCAAACATCGCCAGATGAGAGGAAGGTTCCACCTGAGATCGACTCGCCGGAAACCGAAGACTGGAAGGTAAAGCTAATAGATCCCGCTAGCGAAGGGCCGCCAGTGAGTCCCGTGACATTGACTTCAAAGTAAAGTGCGCCCGACTCGACGGTGGAGTAGTCTACGAAGGCAGTGCCGTTACTGGTTATTTCAGTGGAAGCGAGCTCCTCTTCCACGATCGACATGATGTTGGAGGGGTATGAGATCAAAGACAGACCCTGGCGGGGCAGATCTTTCAGGTAATGGCCTCGGGGTACGGTCATGACGCTGCGGAAGCCATCGCCTACTTCCTCGCCGGCAGTGGGAACCACGTTGGTGTACTGCCAGTTGCTCGCCCAGTTAAGTGTGATCTGGTCTTCGTCGGCGGGAATACCGTAGAAGAATTGACCGGCGTAGTTGTCCTTGGCGAAGTCCGTGAGGCGTGTTCGGGCGTCATCAGCCTCGAAGTGCGTGCCGTTGAAGTTACCGACGAAGTACTCCGTGATAGATCCGCCGAGAGGAGCTCCTGGGTTGATGGAAATCAACATGACATACTTGGACTCGTCGCTAGTGGAGTTCTGCACACGCATCTCAACCATGTTCGGGCACTCGTACTGCAGACCGGTGATGCCGTAGCTGGAGAAGTTGCTGGTCGGAGTCCAGTCGATCAAGTTAGGGCTTGTGAAGATGCCGATCTTGAAGTCGATGGGGTAAGCCACGACCATAACCCAGCTCTCAGTAGGCTCGTACCAGATGACTTTCGGGTCACGGAATTGAGTGGGGTTGGTTCCACCGGGAACGATAACAGGGTTATTCTCGTACTTGGTGAAGGAGTATCCGTTGTCGTGGGAGTAGGCAATGTGCTGGGTCTGGTTCTCGGGAACATTGATGGTGTAGATCGCGACTACGCCGTTGGTCTGATTCGGGAAGAAGCCGCTGGTGTTGTTGTGATCGATGACGGCAGATCCTGAGAAAACACCCTCGGTTGGACCACCGGGGAAGATGGCGATGGGCTGATTTGTCCATGTGTACAGGTCTTTGCTGGTCGCGTGGCCCCAGTGTTGGTTTCCTGCAATGTTCTCGGTCGGGTTGTACTGATAATACAAATGATACACCCCGTCTGTAAATAACATGCCGTTTGGATCGTTCATGAATCCAGCGGGCGGGCTGAAATGCACTTGAGGTCGAAGCGGCTCATCGTAGTCGCCTGAAATTGGGACCCCAGTTGGTACATTGGGTTGCGAGTACGTCGATGTGCTTGAGGCTGAAGGGGCTGACGAGTTCTGGGCATGTCCAAACGTGAGCAGGCCACCGATGGCTGCGAGTACAGAGAGATGGGAAGGCATGGTGAGATGGTTTCCGGTCCGATGCCGATCAATCAGAGATATACCGCCAGCTTTATGCTTCTCGAAGGACGGGATGCATCCGGGACTAGAGGGCAAATTTTCGCATCGCCTGTGATGACAAAACCAGATGTGGACGTGCCCCGCATGTCTACCTCCATCTTACTCCGCTTATCACCCCATGGGTACCAGCATTTTCGTATCCGTGTACTGTAACCGGTGGGTGCATGATGAGGTTGAGCCGGCATCGAGGGAATTGGGCATATCGGAGCTTCCAAGTACGTACCTTCTCCGCAAAACCACTCAAAGGCTACGCCGCACCTAACTACATTCTGCCCTGGGGTAAACGTGCGTTCTCGCTTGCCCAGGTTTACTTTTAAGCGTTGGGTTAGGATTGATGGGACCGATGTGCAATTGCGTCAACGGACGTGCTAGCGCGGTGCGAAATCTTCCCGAGAAACATTCCATGCTCCGATCTTGTTCTGTCAGCAGCAGTAAATGAGGAGCGTCAGTGCGCCAAGACAGAATGTGCGGGAACAAAGCCACTAGAACCTCAACTTCTTGTTCTAATGCTGGTGTTGTTGGAACTAATGTATTGGTATATGCCGTGGCGACTCGCTCGAACGAAGACCAAGCCCCAGTCTGAGTCAAAAGCGCACTCTGTTCTTCAAAGCGCGAGCCCAAAATCCCAGACTTGTACTTTTCGTGTGCCGAAAGGCCCACCTTGCCTGATGAAAAGACTCAAGACGTTGAATTTATCCAGCCTCTCTTCGTCCACCAACGGCTCACCAGCAGCGTTGGGTACCTCGGCCAACTTCTTCCAGTCATTGTACGCTCCGGCGGCTGTCGCGGCCCAAATTTGCACGGTCATCTTCGGTTGATCTGGTAGGATCGCGAAGACGTTGTCGCCTACGGCGGAGATTTTACCTCGATAGGCAAGATATGGGGGCGTTGACAGACCGGGCGTCTTGATGGCGGTCTTGGAAAACTTGCCTTCTGGAGTCCGGAGATAGTGGTAGAATTGCGCTGTGCCTGTCGAGTTGTCGCGCATGAGGGCATGGAATCGGCCTTTCTGGTCAGCGCACTGGGCTTCTTGATTGATGATCTGGCTGTTTTGTGGGATCGAATACACCTTGATCCCTGGTGTAGATGGCGTTATCGGCTTTGCTACAGTTTGACCATTGGTCTGCTTCCAACTCTTGCCATCATCCTCCGACAAGGCGAAGTAGAAGTCGTGGTTAGTCGAGGGAGTAGGTGTCTCCCTCACCGTCCACGAGACGAAGAGCTTTCCACCCTGGTTGCTGATGCCGTTGATGTATGCATTGTTGTCTTGACCTTGGAGGTATTTGCCGACCGCGCTCCACTGCCCGGATGTTGCAGAGTATCGATGTATGTACGAGTCACCGGCGCCAGACTGACCAATACGGAATTCCATCAGAAGATCGCCGTTGTCGAGGCGTTCAAACCGAGGGTATGTGAGCGGCGTCCATGGTCCGGTTGAGCCAGGCAGACTGTGTAGGACCGCTCCAAAGGCGCTGGCTGTCCACTGTTCGGGAATTGTTTTAGCGATCCCTGTGTTGCTCGCACGATAGTTGAGTGGCACGTCGTGATGATCGAAGCTCAGATGAATCTTGCCGTCGCCGCTAATGCCCATGCTGATAGTGTTGTGTTCGTCGAGCGTGGTTTGCACATAGTCTGTGAACGCAAAGTACTGCCAATCACTCAAAGCAGGGTTGATTTTGCGCCGACCGAGGTTGACATGATGTTTGCCATATCCAGAAGCTGTCTTGTAGAATGCGACGTATTGGTAGTCGCCAAAGGTGGTCAAGGCGTGTTGTTGGAAAGCAAGGCCATTGAGACGGACTGAACCCTCCACATCATTCGTGATGTTCCAGTTCTTGGTTGAAGTGATGGAGATCGCAGAAGAAAGCGTGACGCAGCACGCGAGTAACGAAGAGAAAAGTCTCATGATTCTTGGCTGAGCTCTAAAAGAAAGGCTATGCTCCAATTAAATACATGCCGGCTACTACATAATGAGAGCCGGCAATCAAAGACGCGGATGAAATTCTCTTAGTGTCCATTTCTGAACCGTGTGACCACTTCGTGTTCCCTGAATTCTGGCTGGTTGATGATATCCAGACTTGGTCGCCTGTGGAAGGTAATTCTTGCGGGTTGCATGGACCTGCATCGGCATTTCGGGCTATCGTCCCATGATGCGGGGAAGCTGGGGAGATGGCATGGTGTCACTCGGTGCCGGAACATGATTGAAGCGAAACACTCATCAGAGATATAGCACCGCAAACAGGGAAAAGAATAAACAGATGCCTTGCAGTCTACAATACCTAGGTAGTCTCGCAGTGAGAATTGAGATTACTCCAGCACAAAGTAGACTTCCGGACCAGGAGGCAGGTATTCATCTTTTCCCCAAACGTAGTGACAGTCTTTTTCAATACGATTGATGGGAAGCCTG